TCTTTAGTCGATGAAACTTTGTCGACTTTGTCTCCCCCGAATACCCTACGACGTCTACCCACTAAGACAAACCATAAGTTCGGCTTTGTGAAGTCTCTCGTACAAAACCATAATATTGACTCTGGATATTATATAACTACTTTTTGTCATATTATCCCTGGAAAAATTTATTTATGTTTTTTATTACAAGGACAAACGCAGTACGTCTCGTTGTCAATTCATCCCGATTAACTAAGCCACCTTCTTTTTTATTAGGGGAAAGATAAAACCTGCAAGTTGGTTAGCGCGTCTTTACGTCGGAGAATTTTATACCCAATAAGGACGAAAACCGACAAAGGATATAGGAGTTAGTAACTTAATAGGTAAACCGATAATTGACCGTAAGAGGAACCTTTGATCTACCTGTATAAAGTTACAAAACCTGTAAATTTCTGGTCCTTTAACTCAATTAAGAACCTTTTATGTTTACTTATGTATTACTTTTTATTAGTAATCAAGTTAAGGATCGGAGTGCAAGAAAAGTGCTCCTAAAAGACTTTACGAACCAACAAACAGAGCCATTGCGTGGGGTCTCCGCTCAAGGAGTGGTCGGGGTGTCTGACGCCGGGGCCGAAACTCAAACGAGGTGGAGAGGTACAGGGGGGGGTCCGGCACACCCACGTCCCGGTCGGGGCGATGGACCGACTCCGTGTACTGACCATTCGAGACTATATCAAATAAAAGCAGAGAATCACCTACTTTAATTTCTATTAGTAAGGAAGTCTCATGTTTAAATAATGTAAATCTAAAGGTATGACAAGTTGATGTTAAAGACATAACAGTGCGGTTGTGTAAAATAAATAAATTGCAAATAAACCGTCCCTGTTACGTGTCATTACTTGTGAATTTTATAAGTTTACATAGTTCGGCCATAACTAAGTTAAACCACAAGTTTTTCTCGTGTTTTGCCTTAGTTAGGTAAGACCAGTAAACGTTATTTTGAGGTACGGTGTTATTTACTAATGGTTTTAGGAAAAAAATAGCCTTTAATTTCGAAAACGCCTACTACATTCATCTAAAGGTGTGGTCGTTTATAAACTGTTAATATTTAATGAGTGAAAACGTGGTTACTACGAGTTTCAATCTGTTCTGCAGGAAACACCACACCTTTAGATTGAATGTAGTAAGCGTTTTCGAAATTAAAGGCTATTTTTTTCCTAAACCATTAGTAAAATAACACGTACCTCCAAATAACGATATTACTGGTCCTACCTCAACTAAGCAGAAACCCGGAAAAACTTGTGGTTTAACTTAGTTTATGCGAACTATGTAAACTTAAATAAAATTCAACAAGTAATGACACGTAACAGGGACGGTTTATTTCTAATTTATTTTATTTTACACAACGCGACTGTTACTTCTTAACATTATGTTCATACTTTACGAATTTACATTTATTAAACCATGAGACTTCCTTACTAATAAAATGGTAGAGTAGGTGATTTTCTGTTTTATTTGATAATAGTCTCGAAATGGCTCAGAACGGGAGTCGGTCCATCGACCCCGACGACGTGGTGTCCAGACCCCCCCTGTACCTCTTTCTCCACATCGTTTGAGTTTCGGCCCGGCGTCAGACACCCGACCACTTCCTTGAGCCGAAGACCCACGCCAGATGGCTCTGTTTGTTGGTTCGTTAAGTCTTTTAGGAGCACTTTTCTTGCACTTCCGATCATCTTAACTTGATTACTATAAAGCAATAAATAAGTAACCATTAAAAGTTCTAATTGGTTAAACGGACCAGAAATTTTACAGCGTTTGTAACTTTATACACACGCCCTAGGATCAAGGTTCCTCTACGGTCAATTATCGGGTTTACTATAAGTTACATACTCCTATATCCTGTCGTTTTCGTCTTATTGGTATAAAAATTCTCCGACGTTAAAGACGGTAACCAACTTGCAGTTTTACTCTTTCCCCTAATAAAAAAGAAGTGGCTAGCCTTAATGGATGACGACAACGAGACCGTACTGCGTTTGGTCCTTGTACAATAAAAAATAAATAAATTTTACAAGGGGATAATATGAAACAAAAGTAGTTTATCATATCCAGAGTCAATATAATGTTTTGTGTCACGACAGAGACTTTCACAAACCGAAGCTTTATGGTTTGTCTTAGTGGGTAAACGTCGTAGGTATTCGGGGGAGACAAAGTCGGGACAAAGTTTTCACGACTAAGAGACAGAAATGAAATCTACTTTTATTCCTCGGTGAGGGGAGACTCTCTATAAACCAATTTTTATTGTGTTATCCGCGAAAGTGTGGCCTCATGAAAAGGGTCCTTATCAAGACTATCAAGAACCCTAAAACGCAAGTGTTGTTTTTCTAGACCTTGATCTTGAATCTAGCGCGGTTGGAAAAGTTGAGGTCTATCAAGGACGATCTCGCGTCCCTGAAAGGACCCCTCTTTTTCCAAACACCTACACAGCCTGTGTGATGGTTAAAGACTAACCGACCCGCTTAACGTTTGGTGTGGGGCATTTTGAGGTTTTTCAAAACACTACGGCGGTAAAATAAACGAGCGTAATCGTAATAATCGGGCCGCGTGGTTGACTCTCTCTGATTGAATACCGTTGTGTTGTCTTTTGTATCCTCGTCACCTCACTACTCCTCCACAGCCACGAAGTCCGCTAAATGAGCCTTCTGCGATTGGTCGTCGAAGATGACTTCGGTCAGGGGTTGAGGCCCCCTGAGGCCCTGAAGCCCACCGTCATATGCGGCACTTCAACAAACGCCGGACGGGATTTGGGTTTCTTCTTCTTCTTCTTCTTCTTCTTCTTCTTCTTCTTCTTCTTCTCTGCAGTCGCCGAAGTAAACGCATTAGGAGGGAGTCCCTGAATAAGGCCACACTTGCGCTAGATGATCCTGTCGAGGTCCTTGATTTCTCAAGCCGCCTTGATTCATGGCCCTTGATTCATGGCGTTTCATGAACCACACTTTCGCCGTTTACCACGAGATCCTCCTCTAAGTCCACTATTCCACCCCCAATGGAGCCAACCAACAACCGATTACCAATGTGTTCGGTTTTTTAGCAATACTGCAGTATTTCACAGGTTTTAGACTAGTCGAGTAAAAGTCTGTCCAAAAATATATTTACCTAGTCCTGTTGTTCTCCCTCTGAGAAAAAAGGACTTTGAAAGTCTTAGAGAAATGTGTCTCCCCTGTGTACAAATACATATTTTATGTACACTTTAGATGAAAATAAGGAGCCACTCCCCTCTGAGAGATATTTGGTTAAAAATAACACAATAGGCGCTTTCACACCGGAGTACTTTTCCCAGGAATAGTTCTGATAGTTCTTGGGATTTTGCGTTCACAACAAAAAGATCTGGAACTAGAACTTAGATCGCGCCAACCTTTTCAACTCCAGATAGTTCCTGCTAGAGCGCAGGGACTTTCCTGGGGAGAAAAAGGTTTGTGGATGTGTCGGACACACTACCAATTTCTGATTGGCTGGGCGAATTGCAAACCACACCCCGTAAAACTCCAAAAAGTTTTGTGATGCCGCCATTTTATTTGCTCGCATTAGCATTATTAGCCCGGCGCACCAACTGAGAGAGACTAACTTATGGCAACACAACAGAAAACATAGGAGCAGTGGAGTGATGAGGAGGTGTCGGTGCTTCAGGCGATTTACTCGGAAGACGCTAACCAGCAGCTTCTACTGAAGCCAGTCCCCAACTCCGGGGGACTCCGGGACTTCGGGTGGCAGTATACGCCGTGAAGTTGTTTGCGGCCTGCCCTAAACCCAAAGAAGAAGAAGAAGAAGAAGAAGAAGAAGAAGAAGAAGAAGAAGAGACGTCAGCGGCTTCATTTGCGTAATCCTCCCTCAGGGACTTATTCCGGTGTGAACGCGATCTACTAGGACAGCTCCAGGAACTAAAGAGTTCGGCGGAACTAAGTACCGGGAACTAAGTACCGCAAAGTACTTGGTGTGAAAGCGGCAAATGGTGCTCTAGGAGGAGATTCAGGTGATAAGGTGGGGGTTACCTCGGTTGGTTGTTGGCTAATGGTTACACAAGCCAAAAAATCGTTATGACGTCATAAAGTGTCCAAAATCTGATCAGCTCATTTTCAGACAGGTTTTTATATAAATGGATCAGGACAACAAGAGGGAGACTCTTTTTTCCTGAAACTTTCAGAATCTCTTTACACAGAGGGGACACATGTTTATGTATAAAATACATGAAAAGGTGGATTTTGTATAATAGGTGACCATTAAGTCATGCTATTTCCCTGGTAACCTGTGTGGATACCTGGAAGGTGGCAGGATGTGTCGGTGCTGGGCCTCGAGGATCTGCTGCTGGAGGAGGTATTGCTGGTGTAATGCCTGAGGTAGGAAGGGAGGGGCAGGGATGTCCTGGAACTGGGGGCCGGGCAGGGGGTTGAGGGGCGGGTGGAGCGGAGGGCCAAGCTGGTGGCCAGGAGGGGCCAGGTGGGGGTTAATGCCTGACTGTGGCTGCCCTGGGTGGGGCATGGGGAAGTCCATGGGCAGCGGAGCCTGAGGACCTAACTGGAAGTGCCGGCAAGAGGTAGCATGGCTGTGCTGCTGCTGCTGTTGCCGGTTGAAATGCGATCCTGTGGAGGATAAGGAGAAGTTGTCAGGCACCTGGGTGGAGAGATTAGGTGGAATTAATTGTGGATGAAATGTTGTGTCACTGTGTGTGTGTGTGTGTGATATAGCATGTTAATGATGCCCTACATCTTACCTAGGGTGAAAAATACTTCTGTGGGGGTGGGGAAATGATGGTTACCACAAGTACCATGAACATGACAACCATTTTTGGGTCCTGCACACAATACGCAAGCTTTCCTTTCTTTTATTGCATTTCCGACCTCTGGATCGAGTCCTGGTCTTCTGATTCACAGACAAGCGAACTGGATCAGATCAGATGAAATCTACCAGTGTTTGGTCTTCAACGCAGCTCGGTTCTTGTCAATTCTGCAGCCGACAGTGGGTCAGTGCACCCTGAGTAAAACCTTTAGTACCTGGCTGTCATTATGAGAAATATTAAACTGCTGGGTGCTAGGTAACTATCTTTATAATCGTAAAGAACAATTCTCTCAATCTTTAAAATGATACCACACCATAAAATCACATTTTATACATCTGCGCCTAGCTGAAACCTACTTGTTATTTGTGTCTTACACATCCAGTGTAGCTGTATTTGCTTTTCTCCCATACGAACATTCAGGAGTAGAGGAAATAGCTTGAATACTTTTTTTAACTCTCTCCAACCACAGCTATTTGGCAGCTGCAGTGAAGAGACTGCTGTGGAAACTGAACAGTCAGAAAACTAGACTAACTTGTGCTGTGGTGCAATCTGGTTTTAATAACGTGCTTATGTTTCAAAAATACTTTTTTGATTATGGAAATGCTGAGATATTAATAACAAATGTTGCTTTTTAGAACTTTTGCAGAAATCCTGGTTAAAGAAAGCCATCATAGGTTTGCAGAGGAGCAGGTTTCAATGCACTCTGTTATATACATCTGGCAAAAACCGAAGCAGTGAATTTGAAAGAGTTTAGACATTACAATTGCGCACTAATATTCCAGTACCGTTTTTCACAATTTAATCAGCTTCAACAGTGTAAAAAGAGGCAGAGTATTCTGATGTAAACAGTAAAAATATGTTTTAAATCATGAGGATATAGGCAAAGTCTACATTGCATTTACTAGTAGGAGTACACTTGAAAAACGCAGTATGATTTTAAAACACACCCAGCGAAGACAAGCAGTATGACCTTCCAGCTATATTTTCAGGTTGTCAGTGTTGCCGGGCAGACAAGAGATGACCTTGTTGTCGTGGGTCAAAGGCCCAAGTCTACACTGTAAGTAGCACACTGCGTTTTTAAGTGTCTCAGTGAAAAACGATCACCATGAATGACAGCAGATAGACTCATTCAGGCCCTGTGATGGAGGAAGCGTGGAAATTGTCTATCTTTGTCACAGTGGGAGAGGAGGTGGGTGGGGGTGGAGGGGGGCAGGTAGGGACAAGGGAGAGGGAGGACAATAAATGGAAATCAGCAAGAAGCACACTGAAGGTTAGGAAAAACACTATATTCTTTATTGAAAATATTAGTTATGTGGAATTTGTGTTTTTTTTCTTGTTTGTTTGTAATAATAGTATAAATCCATGCAACAAAAATAAACAACATAGACTGAAGGCAAGGCCCACCATGCTCCATATAGGGTTAAAAAGAACAAAAGCAGCATCCAATGAGCAGACGTGTTGGCTACAGCACATGATTTCAGTACAGCAGGGTACATCTTTACTACAGAAAGATTACATTGGATTTTCACTAGTCAATGTAGAAAAAACAAAAACAAAAAACTATGAATCATAAATGTGACCATGCATTGAAAGTACTAATACAAGAACAAAAGGTAAAGAGAGACCACAACCAAACAATAAAGACGTTATTACTAATAGAGGATCTCTTTAGCAGTGCAGGAAAATAGGCATCCCTGTGAAATGGATAGCATTTTGGCCTTATGTTAGTGGGGAAAATTGGGAAGTGATGAACCACCAGTGAGCATGTTTTGCTTATGTAAATGTTTAGAGTTTCATTTGTCTATAAGGGGCAAACAGCCCTGACAGTTCAGTGTGATTCAAAGCTTGAAATTTGCAAAGGGAACAAAAAGGATTACACAAAAATGGAGACAGTTATGGCAGGTTGTTGTGTGCAGGTGCAGTGTACCTTCAATCGTTTCAAGTGATCACGTAACAGCATTGGCTTGAATGCAGGTTTTTAACAATAATTGCATGCATATGGTTCCAATTTGCATGTGTTTTCTTATAATTAAAGGTCACTTTTATCATGTACATTGCACCTTGTGTGAAGAGAAGGAAGATGAGCCAAATTCTGGTGTCCAACAATGCAGTGCCGTATTTGAGATCATGCAAAAATGTATCCACTTTACAGGAATTTACAGCATGTTGTCTATCAAGACTGGATGGGAGGTACACAATGACATTCAACTGATATCTAAAAAAGGAGCTAAAATGTTTACTCAGTGCTACAGCAATTTGACAGAAAAAGACAAAAAAGGTGCTCTGTGCTAGTTGTTAGCTATTGTTTTAGTCTGCTTAACAAAGAAAGTCTATGGCTGAAAACATCTTGGGAGGGGGTGCTTTTTAATACCAATGTCGTCTTCTGATGGAAAGAGGAAATGAAGAAGGGATTCACAATACAGCTAAATGCAGAGAACAGGCAGAGGCCACGCCACACCACACAGCAGCAGATGATCATTAGCTACACAATGGGGGGGACGACAAAGATCTGATAAATGCAGAATGTAGAGCCAGCCTCCATACTATGAAACAGGGAAATAAGAACAGAAATAAAAGCACAATGAAATCATTGATGCCACTGTTGTGAAATTAATGTTACACTGTAGCTTTACCATTGTTTAACTGCGACCGCATACTCGGGTCTTTCTGCAAGCTTCAAACAAAACAGCTGCTGAATTGCCAAATAATGAAAAAGGCGTTTGATATTTTGATGATAAGGAAGTCCACGGTGACCGGACAATAGCCTATTTATCGATTTGTACATTAACCAATTAACACGAATAATAATGACTAAAATCCAGGTAGAAAAACGACGAGCGCTAGCAGAAGCAGATGATCTTCAAATGACATCATCCAGGCACAGATAAGCTGACTGGCTAGAAAGGCTACGTCTATTTTGCGGTATTTTTACACGGCAAATACACGATAGCGCCTAGGGAAAACAGCTATACATCGCTATGTTACTGAAATAAAAATCGCAAGTCTAAAAATGTATCTCAGATTGACATTGTCTGACACGATTGTCTATTCGGGAATGAGTTTTGACATGGGCTATTTACGACAGCACGCCCCGTGTCTGTGAAATCCTTTGTGAGAAATGTTTCCGTTCCAGGACATAGCCTGTGCCAACGAGCCAGTTAGCTTATCTTTAGCGGCGGTATTTATCTTAAAATACGCGGAATTACGCTCGGCAAACCACTTTATTCGGTGGTTTATTTCAATGGAAGTAAATAACAATAAAGTAGTATTACGTTGCGGGCACGTTTTGCGAATAATGTTACCGTTAATTTTAAGCTGGCTAACACGAGCTAACCCAAGGGCTAAACTCGAGCTAGCTAGCAAACAGCTGCAGTGAATATTAAGATAAACAGGGCACATGTTTGGGATCGATATGAATATTAATACCGTACCTCTGTTTCTTACTGAGCCGAATACAGGAAGAACCAGATATCCGACATGCACTAAGACCATCCTGGGATCCTTATCTTATGATTCCGCTGGGTGTTTTGGAGAGAAAGAATAGTAGTAGCCCATGCGGATCTACATTCAGGCGGCTGGTTGTTGCTGGCTGGCTACTAGCACCACAGGCAAACCCGACGAAAGACTGTCTGCCTCGGTTGGTTGTCGTTCAGAAAAGCAGACATGTCATGTTATGTCCGGAGCAAAAGAGGGCGATGTTGCGGCTCCTCACACAAAAGCTGCAGCTACCTCTCGGTTAACCTTGGTCATCAGACTTGATCTGAAGTATAGGCTGATAAAAATAAAATAGTTGATGGTAGTGTACATTTTTAGGAGGTATGTTGCAGCGGGTTGAACATGCCTTCTGTTATTATGCATAACTTCATTCCCCTTTACCTTCTGCTGGGAAAGTACTTACCAATATTTACCAAGGTTATTAGTTTATACAGTATGTGGTTATTAGGCATGATCTGAAGTATGCACACATTAAATATACGTTATAGTAAGGCATCATAATGTGCACTCACATTTAATTAATTCCACATTAGGAAGCTTAAATCACAAAATTAGGCATTTTGGTCTGAAGAGTGTCCTTGATAATAACTAATCAATGAAACATATTTGTATTTTACCCGTTCAAATGCATCACAAATAATATAAGGGGAGCTCAGAAATATAAATCAGGACTTAATTTAAACCAGGCTTTTCCGAATGCCTTCATTTTATTATGTCCATGTCCAAATGTCCATCTATAATGTCCATGTTCAGTCACTAGATAATTCCCTGTTGGATTTATTATGGTTATTTATATTGCCTACATGTATTACTTGTTGTATTTTTCTCTTCTTTTTTTTGAGGACAAACAATTTTATCTTGTAAATTGAATTATATTATTGCTCAAATGCAAAATGCTTATATGCTAATTTACAAAGTTTTTTTAATAAAATAACTCAACATTAACATTACAGCTGTTGAATGTTCATTTGACATATAGACTTAAGTGGAGGCTTTAGTATTTGAATATTTATCATGGTAGTAGTGACAAATGGTAGTACGATAGGGATGAAGTTAAGCTTATTACAGGCCCACCTATACCCTTATTACATCGCATATTCTAATCATTTCAGGTAATCCTTTTACTAGGTTACAAAATGAAAGCTTTAAAGGTTAGTTACTATTTGTATTTCTATATTTTTACTTGTGTTTTTAAATGCAGTACTTTTCCTTTACAGAGTATTTTTACACAGTGGTGTTGCTACTGTACTTAAGTAAATTATCTGAGTTATTTTTCCACTTTTGGTACTTGCCTTGACAAACAAAGATAAGGTTATGAAGTAAAGTCGGACAGGTTTGTCATTAATAAAGTTTTGGGGATAAACATAGCAGCAGTACCTGCTCCCTGACGGCAGGGGCAGGGTTGAGCTATTACGCAGGAAATGTAACGTCAGTGTCACATAAATAGAAGAAGAGTTCATTCAGCCATTACATTCACTCAGCCAGGTCGCAGCCGCTAGTGGTGGAGGACAGGTCATTAGCAACAGGACAAAAATGTTATCCGTGAGAGTTGCAGCAGCTTTGGCCAGGACCTTGCCCAGAAGGTCTGGATTTGTAAGTATTTGAACTATACAACCCACATCTAATGTTGCAGCAGTTTTGTTTTATATTAGTGTGAAGACTGTGGGCGTGAAGGGTAATGTTAATGTTAAGGCCGCTAGCTAACTTGTCATCGACTTAACAATGTTGCTTTACATGCTAATAAGCGCTCCTGAGCAGTAATCCGCGTTAACAACCTCGAAAATTGTGTATTTCATATGTTTGTTGAAGTTGCCCTTGTGAAACGACAGTCCCCGTCCTGCAGCAAGCGGTGCTAAAGTTAGCACTTAAGCTAATGCTATCTGCCAGCTAACGGCTCATTCAGCCACGCTTTGAAGGTCAGGAAGCCTGACAGCGCATGTACTCTCCGCTGCACAGACCTGCACTAGCTAAGCTTTTAAAGTGCCCATTGTAACTGTCGCTGCTGCATCTTTGAACTTGTATTTGAAATTAACGCTTTATCCAAACCGTGTGTCGTTACATTAGGTGTCCAAGGCTCTCCCCGTCGCCTGCGTTGGGGTCAACCACCTCCACACACACAGACCATGGCTGCAGAAGACAGGTGAGCTAAAAACAACATGACAGAAACGTTAGCCTCCACACTGTAGGTCAGCTCCTAAAGGTACTTTATGAAGGTCAATGGTGATACTGTGTTTGCAGAGCTTGACTTTTAATTGCTGTCATATTAACAGGACAAACAGATGCTTTTTTAAAGTCTTGAGGATAACGTAGACCACAGTAGGCTTATACACAATACATACAAAACACACATGCACGGAGGAATACAATAATAACAGACTGCATTAACATTTCTTTGTAAATGATAAATGGCACATTTCATGTTTATTTCAAGTTATTGTACATCAAGTTTACTATTATTCATTCATTTATTGTGTACATATTTAAGTTTATAGTTTGCTGGAAAATGAGGTAATTTGGGTAATGTTTTTAAATAACCTTTGAATGGAAGAGACACTGACTAAAATCACAGCTGTCACATCTTTGACATTCAATCAAGGTATTTTTTTTTTTTTGCCTAAATTTGATTTGTTTTTAATTGAATATATCTGGCATAATCCAAGACTATGTTGCATAATTGTTACAATAATTACATCACACATTTTTATGGTGGCTAAGCAATAAACATGTGTTGTTGTTCACAGGCACAGCCGAGGTGTCCTCAATCCTGGAGGAGAAAATCTTGGGAGCTGACACCTCTGCTGACCTGGAGGAGACCGGCCGCGTGCTGTCCATCGGTGACGGTATTGCCAGAGTTTACGGACTGAGGAATGTCCAGGCAGAAGAGATGGTGGAGTTCTCCTCTGGGCTGAAGGTTTGTTTTAAAGGAGAATATACAATTATTTATTTTCCAGGAAAAATGCACTTTTCAAAATGACATGAAGTGTTAACTTATTGTATTTATAGAAGTTTATTTCCACACAGTGGTTATCTTGAATTGACAAAACAGAAAGAACATTATGTACTTTTTCCTCACATTAATGTTTCAATGCCATCAAACCCAAAAAATCCTAAATGATCAGTTTTGCTTTGTTTATACATTTTTTTCATATATTTATGTAACTCTAAGCAACCACTGTAAAACAATTATTCTGGTAGAATGTAAAATATATATTTTATTTTCTTGCAGGGCATGTCTCTGAACTTGGAGCCCGACAACGTTGGTGTTGTGGTGTTCGGTAACGACAAGCTGATCAAGGAGGGTGACATTGTGAAGAGGACTGGTGCCATCGTGGATGTCCCTGTTGGGGCGGAGCTGCTCGGCCGTGTGGTGGACGCTCTGGGAAACGCTATTGATGGAAAGGTCACTTGACTTGTCTTTTCTTAGAGTAGAAGTTGTATAATATGACTGAAGTTATAATGCATATAATAAGTAACAATGTTTTTACAAAATATTATTATTTTTCAGGGTCCCCTGGGCTCCAGTATCCGTAGGCGTGTGGGTCTGAAGGCCCCTGGTATCATCCCCCGTATCTCTGTGAGGGAGCCCATGCAGACTGGAATCAAGGCTGTGGACAGCCTGGTGCCCATCGGCAGAGGCCAGCGTGAGCTGATCATTGGTGACAGGCAGACTGGGTAAATACATCAAAAGACTATTATCTTTGTAACTTGACCCACAACTTTTCCCTGGATTAATGGGAGCTTATGACTTGGGTTCAATGTAACATCAGTGAGTATGCTCTTTAAATCCATCTCTGTTCCTCAGCAAAACTGCCATTGCTGTCGACACAATCATCAACCAGAAGCGTTTCAACGAAGGAACTGACGAGAAGAAGAAGCTATACTGCATCTACGTTGCCATCGGACAGAAGAGGTCCACTGTGGCTCAGCTGGTGAAGAGGCTGACTGATGCCGATGCCATGAAGTACACCATCGTGGTCTCTGCCACCGCCTCTGATGCTGCTCCTCTGCAGTACCTGGCCCCATACTCTGGCTGCTCCATGGGAGAGTTCTTCAGAGACAGCGGCAAGCACGCCCTGATCATCTATGATGATCTGTCCAAGCAGGTGAGGACAGAGGAAGAAAATAAGTCTGATTTTGTAAAACTGTCATAACTGGAAAATGACAGCATTTAGATTTTTTTGTTTTTTTCTAAGCTTCCATTAGAATTTGGAAAAATGATCCATCGATATTAATAAAGAAATCGAGGCAGTATTCAGAAGTGCAGTGATTTTAAACGTCTTCTCCCCCTCCTCTCAGGCTGTTGCCTACCGCCAAATGTCACTGCTGCTGCGTCGCCCCCCCGGTCGTGAGGCCTACCCTGGTGATGTGTTCTACCTGCACTCCCGTCTGCTTGAAAGAGCAGCCAAGATGAACGACAACTTCGGTGGTGGCTCCCTCACTGCCCTGCCCGTCATCGAGACCCAGGCCGGCGACGTGTCTGCCTACATCCCCACCAACGTCATCTCCATCACAGACGGACAGGTATGTCTAAAACTGTCATTCATGTTTTGGTTGGGTATTTCCCACATTCTTCGTAATAACGCTGTTAAATTGTAATATCCTTATCTGTTATATGTAGATCTTCTTGGAGACTGAGCTGTTCTACAAGGGTATCCGCCCAGCTATCAACGTGGGTCTGTCTGTGTCCAGAGTAGGCTCTGCTGCCCAGACCAAAGCCATGAAGCAGGTAACATCTGGATTTAAGTTTTTTAATTCAGACATTGCGTTATCATGAACCTACATTTCCTGTTTACAGTTTTATAAAAACAATTCCTGCATTTCGTCTCCTGCGATATTTATAATGGTATTTCTTCTCTGTAGGTGGCCGGTACCATGAAGCTGGAGCTGGCTCAGTATCGTGAGGTGGCTGCTTTCGCCCAGTTCGGCTCTGACCTGGACGCTACCACACAGCAGCTGCTGAACAGGGGTGTCAGGCTCACTGAACTGCTCAAGCAGGGACAGTACTGTGAGTGTCTGTCTTTTTAGAATTCCTGCTTTCCAAGAAGTATAAAAGAAATGCTGCGCTGGTATGTCTTTTTTTTTAAATGCAATAATAAACTGTCTCCTCCACTTTCTCCAGGTCCCATGGCCATTGAGGAGCAGGTCACAGTCATCTACGCTGGTGTCAGAGGATACCTGGACAAAATGGAGCCCAGCAAGATCACAAGGTTCGAGAAGGCTTTCCTCCAGCACGTCCTCAGCCAGCACCAGGATCTGCTCAGTGCAATCAAGTAAGACATTTCACAGCCACAAAATGTTTCAAGTAACATTTTGAAAGTTTGGATTTTTGACGTGATCTGTTGTCTGTTTCAGGGTTGACGGCCAGATCTCAGAAGGATCAGACGCTAAACTGAAGAAGGTTGTCCTGAACTTCCTGTCCAGTTTTGAGTAAAGGATAGCACTTCTCTTTATCTGTGTCCCCACTTCGCTTATATATGTGAACACACTGAAGGCCAGAACCTCCATGTACAGATTTCTCCAAATAAAATTTTACAACCCTCCCGAGGTGTAAAATTCTTCTGATTGTGCACTTAACTGCAGTAAGTCTAGTATGTAGGTTGGATTCCTGACAGCAGATTCCACAAGTGGCAGAAGAGTAAGTCTAATCAATAACACGTCAAAGGTGTTATCTGATTTATTTCGGAGTATTTCAGTGTACCAAAACAAAGGTAATATGCATATTTATCTACATGCCATCATCTTGAACTCGTCTTTACTGTAATAAGTTGTTCACAAGAGCATAATATTTAACTGGGAAAATTAGTGTTTAAACTTGACAAGTGTTTGTTTTGTTCCTCACTGTTTTCAGAGGAAGAAAGGACTGTAAGCCCCGTTTCTAAACTGGGTGAAATGTTTGTTAATAGGTAATAAATTCAGTGACGCTGTCACACATCAAATCTGTCCTGTGTGAAATCTTGTGAGACTGTCCTCCCGACAACTAATTTTTAAAGTGACTACAGTGAGAATAGATTTGTCTGGTCCTTCAAATATGTGACCTTCATATCTTCACCAGTAGATGGCTGTAAATGCCTAAAAGCAGACTGAGCTACACAGAAGAGACAATAGTATCTGCCTCTTACCAAAGATTATTATAACATGAGTGACAGAAGGATGACTGCATTTGGCTCTAGTAGAAAGTTTTCAGTTGATTATTTTGAAAAGGATGTTAATTTTACCAACATTGATCACATATCACAGCAGGAGGATGTAGCAGTGCCATTTAGTCCCTTCTCGATCCCTTTAGCTCTCTATCTCTCCTGTTATGTAGACATTAAATAATATAATAAAAATGAATCCTTAATCATTAATGCTCCTTTTGCTTCAAAGGCTGTAGAAATGATCTTAGTTGACTTCTTGAGTAAATTTGTCACCTTATTTAAAACGTTAATCCACCACTGTACCAATTTTCTCAGATAAAATAAGAATCCTTTAAGTTTTGTTAAATCTTCTCATCAAAACAAACTGGTTGCCATGGTCATTTCTCATGAGGGATGATGTGTGGTGCTCTTGTCTCTCAGGCAGCCTTTGTGTTGAACAATATTAGACATGCTCTTTGTCTTCTTTTGTTAACAATTGATACTGTTCCTAGGATCCTGTAGTGTGAGCTGATTTGAGTATTCATTATCTCGAGAATATGGCTGGTTAAGTGTTTTTAGGATGAAAATCAATTGATGTTTCAGTGCCATGCCTTTTAAAGACTATTACTTACTATATAAGTGTAGTGAGCATTATGAGTGGCTTGTTTCTCCAGTGGCATCACTGCCTGGCAAGATAAAGTGAGACATGTGACATGTGAGTGAATAGGGCTGCATTCAATAAAGACTATTGTCGAGGTCAGCGTGACAACAGGAGAGAGCTCTTTGGACGCACAGACAACATGTACGGTCACATTTTAGATGTGGGGGAGGTGGTAGTTATCTACAGCAACATGGTCAGTTTCAGTAGACAAGCAGATTTAAAGTCAGGGATATACTACCCATGAAAAATACTTAATGATATGCAGGAGTCTTCAAACTCACTTCTAGGAATATATTGCATTTAAATGGCTTTTTTTCCCATCTCCCCAGGAAATGTCCCCAGCATTGTGCCCTTATTTTAACATCACTTCTCAGTTATTTGTATGTGTTGCACATACATATAATCTAGATAGTAGCCTAATACAGTAGTGCTGTCTATCCTTTAAATCTAATTTTCTCGATAGGGTAGGGTCAGGAGTTTAGTCAATAAAAGGAGACAAATCTTTAAGGGAAAATCCTACATGCACATATTCCTAAAAAATGACATGCCTGTCATTATTCCTGAATAGTCAGTTTAGAATAACTGACGCTTTATCAAGAACTGAACTAATAAGACAACATGAGACAACATTGAAACAAAGCCTATTTTGTCTGATATTATATCTACTAATACCCTTGTAGTATACTCTGTTGCTACTGCACTATGGTAGCTGTTTTGTCATTGTTGATTTATATGACTGATATGAAATGAACCCAGTTTTAATGCTGATTCAGTGTTTAGACTTCATCAGGGATCATATTTTAATTGAGAGCTACTAGTCTTTCAACTTGTGAATCCGGTTTTTGTTAGCATATTTCACATTGTGATATTTGTATACATCACAGTTATCATATTAGTTGTTCAGTACTGTTTGACATTGATTCCAGTAAATACTTAAATCCTTTTTCTGTCAAGCCGTTTTGAAAATGTGCTTATCTCAAGGCAAGGCTGTGCATCTACACACACTGAGCAGAAGAATCTTAACTGCCCTGCTGAAACATAATCAGCCTATAGACTTAAGTTGAGATTCATGAGTGTGTGTTTATTGCTGTCACTATGTGCTTAACCAAACCTAGTTCTCTCAGTCACTGTAATAGGATTTAAACTCTAAAGCGGATCCTCAACTCAGACAGTAGTGGGTGAGGATGTAATGCTTAACCACCTATACATGATACCACTTGGAACCAGGCTTGGAACAGAAACATGTTATTTTTCATGGCAACAGAAGAGGCTTATTTGCATGCATGTGTTTTCTGTTGTCTGTCTACAAACTCCTCACCCAAAGCAGTGTTTTGTTCCTTCCACTTCTTCATTTGGTTAATGAACCACATATTTGCAGTCTGCAGTTACTAGAAAAACAACAGTCAGCTATTCTGCAGTAGCAAGTAAGGCCATCCTTAAAGTCAGTTGTACATTGTCCAAGGCTTAATTCACTTGTATTATATAGCATTTGCTTTTTCTACAGACACAACAGTAATCTTCTTTGTAACAAATAAGCAAAACAAAGCTCTCTTTATTTTTTCAAACATTTTCCACAGTTCTGCTTTTAACAAAACAGTTTGAAGCGTCTATGTGGACAAAACATAAAACCATCTTCATACAAACTTTAAAAAAACCAATGCATTGTATTTTTTTTTAACATGAAATAACATTAGGGAAGGGACATGACAGCAGGTAGCAGCAATCTGACTAAGGCCAAAATCAACATAAAATATATATTATTTCTGAGTCCAGTCTCCATTTGCAGTTCCTGGAGTTGACAATCCAGGTTTTCTTGTTCAAAAGGTGCCAGACCCCTACAAGCCTGCTTGCAGAGCGCATACAGACACTCATTATATTCTGGGCAAAAAGAATTTCATTCATTCATGATGGCAACATCAGACGCTAGAAACCACATTTCATACAAGCTCACACTGTAAAAAGTCACCTTCTCTAAAATAAACCCAACATGCTGTATTTTGTTTTGTCATTCAACTGTTTTACGTTTGATTTACCCCAAAACTCGGCAGAAAGTTGGCTACTTTTAGTAAAGTGCAAGAGCTGTCCGCTCTCGTGCACTTTGCAAAGTTTAAAGACCACACTGAAAGAAGCAGCTAGAGCCTGCAGTGTGGGCTCCACAGATAAACTGTGTTTGTGAAATGCACAGAAACCAGCAGTGAACATCAAACGCTTGCAGTTTACTGATCCAATGTAGAACCTCAGTGATCATTTCAAGGAATAAAGGCCACATAGAGTATTGTCTTTTGAGGCCTCAGTCACTAAGTGCTGCCATAGTGGTTTCCATTAGCAGGGTATTCCTGTAAACTGGTGTGTGTGGCTTCTTCCTCCTGGCACACCACCGGGCCCACTGGCTGTTCAAAGAAATTAGACACGCAGACCACCTGCAGAAAACATACAGCATGATTAAAACTCATTATTCTGTTATAGCTTCGGTCGTAATTGCAAAGAGAAAATATATGACATCATTAAAGTAGATCAGACATCTTCTTGTATCCTATAGCTTCAATAAACAGTTGGAAAATGCTGACATAGTATTTACAGTTTAGGACACATTTATTCACTGTGTTTTAAGATGATTTATAAAACCTAAAAGGGAAAACAAAAGTAAAAAAACTGCAAGTTCAAACCATTAACCTCTTTTTGAATTCAAACATGGCCAACACGCTTTTTCTAAACGGTGCTTTCCCAATTATCCAACACGGTGTTTTCACTTGCATATGTAATGATTAGATGAGACTTACTGTGAGAGTAGCCACTACCCCTCCCTGCAGGAGGCCAGCGAACACATCACTCCAGTGATGTTTGTAGTCCGACACCCGGGACAGACCCACATACACAGCAGTGGAAATCAGGAAGAATTGGATGGTGGGACGCAGAAGCCTCGACCATTCTGACCTCAGTCTGGCTTGAACATACAGCTACAGAACAGACACAATATAAGAATAGCAACAAAAAAAAGTGTGGGGTCAAATATGGCCAAACCCATATTTACAAAGGTGTTGGCAGCTAACGCATTTGCTGAATAGAATTATGTGAAAAAAAGTTATTTAGCATTTAAATGTAAGTCACATTTAGACAAAAAAAGTGTTTTGAAGTAGAATAGATGTACTTACTACAAGGAACAGCATGCAGTACATAGAGAAGGATGAATGACCTGAGAAGAAGGACAGTCTACAAAAGGAAAACAGAAGAGAAACTAAATGAAATTACGAAACATTGCAATAATCAAGTGACTTTTCATTAATTTATAATAATGATCAAAATCAGCACTGTTATAATATAAATGAAGAAGAAGATTAAGGGGGACCTCTTTTAAGTGTACATATCAAAACAAGTTTATTAGTTTCAAGAAGCACAACTAGGACTGGGAAAACAATACTTGTATAGTCTTTATTACATTACCTGGCTTCATCTACCAGAACTGTTTCTCCAGTGCAGGTGAAGTTCTCAATGTATCCCCCAGGTTTGCAGTTAATGTTATTCCAGTTTGGTTTGCACACAGCCAGGAAGTATGGCCGAAGGCGGCCGATGGAGTACTTTGCGATGTCTGTCAGAGACTGGCTCGCAGCAGCTCCAAACACGTAGCTCCCAACAGCTTTATACACACACGCCACATACTTAGTCCCCAAAGACTGGTTCTTGATGCGGGACATGTAAACAGAAAGGCACTCGCCACAGACGATCTGCGGAAGAAGAAAAAACAATGACTCACCATAACAATTGACATGTCAAGATCCGAGATCTTAAGGAAGAAGACGTTTGTTGACTCACCACGATAAGAGTGAAGGGGATCATGACTCCTCCCAGCAGCTGGTAGGAGATGGTATCCTCTTTTAGAGGGTATCTGATGGACTCATCGTTACAGAAGAAACCCCTTTTAAAAGGGTTGTGTTGAGGGGTCAGGATAAAAAATGGAAGGCCAACTGTGAAAAAGAAGGAGGCAGATAGTGAGTACCAATTCTACCTCATTGTCAACTTTTAACATCTCATAGCATCCAAATGTACAAGCAGAGAGAACTCCACAGCCACAGCTACTATAGCCACAGCTACTATTAGGAAATGCTAACAATTTAAGATGTAATCACAGGAAACGTGATGTGATGCCATGACACAGGAGTTCCCCTTTGTGCTTATGATTCTTGTGGCTTTCATTTAGCTGCAAGAAAGGAAAATCACCCTGTTGGAGTTGCACAAAAACTAAATTACACCGCTTGAGGCCTCCAATTACAACAGAGAAATATTGCAAAAATCATATGCTAGGAATTATGCCGTTAGAAAGGCTAACTACCTTTATTTGATTATTGAATTACTGTGTAAATAGGCTTAGTATGAATGTAAACATAAATTGTGGTTAAATGTTAAGTTAAACCACAAAAAACAATATGTAGGCTAGTAGTGGAAAAACATTTGACGTACTACAAAAGTAAAATGTTGCATAATACTGATGCATTATTGGTAATAAACCAATATTATTATATAGGCCTACATTATAAGCTAAAATTTAACGGGGGCATAATGGATGTATCTGTTTTGCTTTAGAAACTAACCGGGAGTAATATTTAAGTAATTTTGAATGCACAACTTTTACTTTTCTATTTTGTGGTGTTTCTACCTTTACTTTTCAATTTTGTTGTGTTTCTACTTTTTCTCCTTTTAAATGCATATTTCCCTTACAAATCATAGAGTTTATAAAACTTAAACAAAAGGACTTTAACTAGGAATTAACTAGACATAAATGAAGACTTTGGACAGAACGACATTCCATTGGAAATAAAAGTTTACACCTTGCGGTTTGATTGTTGCTGCCAGCTCCAAAACTAAATGTGATGATTGGTGCACAGTCAGCAGGACAGAGGACACTGACTAAGCAAAGTGCCCGTGTGTGCGTGTATGTCTGTGTAAACGTCTATCTTTATCAAATAGGCTACATATGGCACATATGGCATATCAACAGACAAAAGGTGTATTCAACTTATTTGTTTGCAGATTGGTCAGTGACATTTAGCAGCCCTGCAGCTTGTCTCTGTGCTATGATTGCATTACAAACACAGAGCTAAAAATATAGCTTGGCTTTAAGAAAACACACACACAGGGTGGGACTTTGTTGCCTTTTTTCCATCTTCCTGCCTTCCTTAAAGTCTCACAGTGTGTCTACTACATGACGTGTATGTAAATCAATTGACTTGCTTAAACACACTCCTTGTAAAGCATTTATTGATGATTAAACGGATTAAAGGACCGGTTTAGCAGACGGGATACAGGTTAGATGTACATACCGAGGATCAGACAGGCAATGTCCATCCCGATGAGAGGGATCCCTGCTCCTTCAAACATGTTGCGTCTCCCGGTAGGCCTACTCTTCGCTTCTGTAAAAAATGTCCGCTCCCGACTCTGCCGGATGCTTTTAGACGACACTAGAGGCAGCCTTTCTGCCGCACATTTCTCGCTGCTCCAGTACAAAATTATAAAAGTGTCATTGTGCTACCACGAAACTCCTGTTTGACTGTCCGAGGAGCTACAAATACGGGGAATTCAAAACATGTAACAAAAAACACAGATCTAAAATCTAGATCTAATCTAAAACCACCACACAGCATGAATAGCTGCTCACCCTCCGAAATGCTCACACATGATGATAACACACTGGGGATTCTTCAGCTCATTACACCGTCCTGCCCACAGACACACTGCCGGGAAGGGCAGCAGGAGGAGCGCATCTACAGCTGAGATTAATGCTGCCTTCACGTACAGTCGGAAATCTCTGAGCTGGTTTGTTGTGACGTTGCGTGGGCGGGGAGAGTTTGGTGATAAAAGTGCATTCTCTCACAATAATTATGTATAAACGTTTACTGATATCGCTCAAAAGCCACTGATGTCTATAGCACGCACATATAAATACAAACGCACACAACTAAATTAAATGTGTAATTATAATAATGAATAAGGATGTGGGGCTCAGCCAGGGGCGAAGATAGTGCCCCATTTCATAGGGACACTGATCCCCCATTTAAATATATATATATATATATATATATATATATATACATATATTATATTTATCAGCATCACAATTATGAATGGCTTTAGAAATATTTGTTGAATTAAGATTGTTTACTAGCCCTCCTCACAGCAGGTGTATGGTTTTGTACCTGTCATTTTGAATGTGTGTGCTTTAGTGATTCAAATCTGTCCCGCAGTGTGTCAGTCACACAAATCTTCAGCGAACAGGTCTGTGTGATTGTATCCCACTCATCTCCTCTTGGTAGAGGGAAACAAAGGTGTTTACGTCTTAAACCTGCATATCAAATGGCCTTGAAGGACAAAAAATAACTTTTAAAAAACTGAACATCAGAGAGCAATGATTCCCACTCCTTTATTGTTTGTCCTTGAGTGTTAATTGTGCGATGTAGAGAGACATCCATTAGGCAGGCTAGCGTTTGATGTTTTTTGATGCGAGACCTAGATGTGAGACGGTGAATAGTTACATTCTAATTGCAAGAGGAATTTGTATCGTTATAATTTGGGGAGGCTTTGTATTCCTCCCTTTTAATGAATGTAACATGGTTATCTAGGATAGGAAGGAGCGGAGATTTTGTGAGTTTATAATGAACTCTGAAAGGCTTTTGAATATGTATGAGGATGTGAGACCCTAGGCAAGATGTACACAAGCTCCCCTGATGGGTGTGAAGTTGATCACATCATTTCCTTCCAAAGAGCAAGCCTCATTTGGTACCGAGTTTAATCCAGAGCTCATTGTAACGTAGCACAGCTTTGTAAGAAGTGGAGCACGAGGAAGAGTCGGGCATGATGGGAGGACTTCACTTCTGTTGTTAACAGTGGTAACTGTTAATGCTGTAAGGGAATGTCAATCCACAGTCCACCTTTACCATCTCTGTTCATTTACTTATAAAGTTCACAGGTTTGTCTGTACAGTCAGGGAAATGAAAGTATGATGTTTACTCCTTTTAATTTGTATATTTACCCCACTAAATCATTGTAAATAATTTACTTTGAGCAGTTGATACATTTTCTAACAGCTGTCCGTTCATTGAGACAGTTGCAGTGTTTTGGTAGAAAGACAATAATTACAATTTCAGACAATAAGAAGAATTATCTGAACAGCGATCAGAACACAAATGGATGAAGCAGAGCAGCACTACAGTTTAAAGAAAGGTGTGTTACTGTGAAGGGTGTGTGTGAGTGTGTCTGTGTTTGAGCTTATTTCGGTGCTACTGTTTTCAAGAGGATAAGATGGAAAATATTAAAAGTATTTTTTACTTCTCACCTCTCTTGTTTAGTTTTAGGATTAGGTAAGTAATTGTGTTTAGGCTTGGGTTCTGGTTCAGGTTATAGTTTTGAGCTGGACTAAAGGGTTACATTCTACTCACATAAATCTATGTTGTGTGTGTGAATGGCAGATGTATGTGAGTGCCATTTAAAGCACGTCACTTGATCTGGGTCTCTTTATCTGCCTTAAACACTGACCTGACATGGCGGCGGCCGCTGAGCGTTCTAAGTGATGACCCTTCAACCTGGAACATTTCAATTTCAACCTGTGACGGCTCCCAGGAGAATGATTTGAATTTTAGGTGCGCCTTCCAATCCTGGCAGTGTATAAACATGTAATCAGAGCGCTATCATCTCCCCAGCAGAGAGAGGGCTTGACTCTATGCAGCGGCCGATGGCACTGGCCTCATTTCCCCTGCCAGCAGGTGTCCTCTCCTGATATAATAGGCTTTACATGTGTAATTAACACATGGCAATGCTGCCTGTGCTGGCCATAGCCTTAGCCCTGCTCCTGTCACCATGACTTTCTTTCTTTTTATTTTTCTCCATGTATTTGTTTTCCTCTTCAGTATGAAACATAATAGAGACTGGGCTAAATCACGTTGTGGTGAAAGTAGGTACAGGAGACAAAGACAACACCTTGACGAAGAAAGCCCAGCCTTTGGTAAAGTAGGAATGAAGCAGTGGTGAATGGAAGGCGCAGTGTGGAAGGACACGGATGAAGTTAACAGCTTGCTGTGTGGGCCGGCTAATGCCTTAAAACCCCCCTCTCATGAAACCTGTAATTACCAGGGCTCCGTTAATCAAAAAAGAAACAGAGTAGAAGCAGTGGGCTAATTGGGGCCGACGTGCTCTGTAATTAGAGTAATAGTCACACATTGGAATTTTATGAATGAATGACTTTGCCAGGTTTTTATACAGGGCTTCATTACATTGGACAGAGCTACCAGCATTTTTTTCATGCATCTATATAAAGGAGACAATATGTTTCTGGTCATTTTTTTTGCACAAACAGCAGATTTTCACTCCAGGCCTCCCGACTAGGCCAGTGTTAATTATGTCTGTGGTCGAGATGGCGGGGGTGGGGTATGGGGAGGGAAGTCCAATTATTTTTCTCTCCTTCCCTTTTTTGCCCCAAACCTTTTTTCACCAATGTGCTGCTAGTTGTCAGGGCAAGGAGTAGAATTATCTGCTTGTGGGGCTTGATGTACAGCGTGTGCAAGGAATTTATATTTTGGTTTATCAGCATTATCATTAACACACTCCCGATTCTATTTATGATTTGACTACTGCACAATGAGCTCAACTGATAAGAAATGTTGCTGTTTGTAGCCTGTATGCTACTCCCTATCTCTGACTACCGGAGAGGGTTGTTGACCTCAGTGAAGAAAGAGCTATGGCACCTCTCCCCAGTTCGGATACTTCACTGTCAAGGGGGGGAAGGCCACAGCAGTGATTTATGGAAGCCATCTGAGGATGCAGATTCAATACCTGTGGCTGATATCTTCTCCTTGGAATCGCCTCTAATTACCTAATTTGTCATACTGTGTGCACCGCAAAACCTTCCTCACTTCAAAAAGGGTGCCGGGTGGATCAAGGTCCTTCCTGTCCTCTCCTGTCATGGACTAAGACAGGAGTCATAATCTCAATGACATTGAGCCATTGATTTCCACTGACTTGCTGACTGTAGAAGAAGGACCATGTAACGAATAGAGTTCACAAAATAATGACTCAGTTACACATTGCAATAGGCGGTAAAAAACAACACAATCATGGTTAGTAATTTTCATGCGGTTTACATCCACATTAGGAAATATCACTCAATCAAAATGTTGATCCAATACCATTCATGTTCAATGTAGGAAGACTTGTCCCCTCTCATAAATTAGCAAGGTGGAAATTAAAAGAGTTGAGTTCAGAGAAAGGAATGTAGTGAGTTTTTTTTAATTTAATTTTTAATATTTTGTGGGCATTTTTTTAGATATAAAGTGAATGGGTGAGGAGGGGAGGAAAATGTTCAGCCGGCACAGGATTTGAAACGGCTTAACAGGCAACAGTCACTGCATAAGGGCTACAAGCTCTAACCGCTGAGCAGCCCAGCATGTTGTGAGTTTGAGTTTCATGGTGTCCTGCAACAGTCCTGCAACAGCATTCCCCTCCTTTAACCTGATCAATGTATCCCTAACCTAAACCAAGTGTTCTAGTTCCCTATAGTCAGTGGCGAGCCGTCAGGGCCCTCTAGGCCCTCTCTGAGGGGCTAAGATATTCTAGAAAAAATAATATTTTAAAACATTTTTTTAAAATATTTTTTCCTTAGTTTTACCAAAATAACTTGATTTACTTGTATTTAAAATAACATTTCCAAATAAATCCTTTGAATCTGCCTATTCAGTTTCTGTTGGAATGTGAAGGGTTACATTAAAGAAACTCGTCTCTGTCATAGACTGTATCTCTGCGAGTCACTGTGAAGATAGGAGGTGATTGGTGGTCCTGCTATGAATTCACAGAGGGCCAAGCTACAGTAACTCAATGAGAGAGTAGGCTAATGTCAAATGACAGTACAATTGACCAATCATATCTTCCCTCTAAATGGGTTGGCTTTATTATCGCGGACTTTATGACAAGTTCGGGCGGTCAGAGGGCCTAGGTATAAAAGTCACGGCTCGCCACTGCCATACTTGAGCATACCATACAATGTAGTTTTGGTGACAGGCATAAATATCACCTAATACCACACTGTGTTTGCTATGCAGAGCAGAAAGCAACAATTGTACCAATGTTGTCAATGAACATGATCTGGGGACAAGCAAATTACTCATGTGAGAAGATGATTCACACATGGGCGTAATTTCCACTGGGGACAGGGGGGACATGTGACGCAAGCTGTCATGTGTGTGTGGCACGAGCGCATTTTGCTTGAGTGAGCAAGTGAGAGAGAGCGAGGGAGAGAGAGAGAGCCACGGGGATTGTTGTTGTTAGCATCTGGTGCTAGCTCAGAGCTAACGAATATAAGGAGCCTGTCTCCTGTCAGACTGAGAGCTCTGATAACTACAGCTCAGTGAGGTAAAGGACTCTCTAAGTGATTAGATAGTTAACTTAAACACATATTTCCAATGCACACCTCTATCTATTTAATATAGTTGTAAAAATAAGGTAAGAAATCATTCCAATGTGTAGGCTACTATAGGACAATAACAAAAAATTGTTTAAAGGGGAGTGATTATTAAAATATGCATGAATAAAAAGAAAGAATGCTAACTAGGTAACAAAAGATAAGATAAAGATAGGAGAGAGGAGTTTAAAATAAAAATAAACAAGTTTAAATTATTTGTTATTGTTTGTGATCACATTCTAAAGATGTTTTGATTATTGAAATATATAAAGTTCTCTTTCATATGAGTGTTTAGAGCTGTATC